TATCTAGAGTTCTGCAGAAATTAATCGCAAATCATTCACAGAGTGATCAAGCCTTCTTGATCATATAAGAAAATACTATTTAAAGAGTTTAAAGCTGCAGTCCGCAGTTTTTCCTCTTTGTCGCCATCTCTGTTCGAAATCTGAAATTGCAGTTATTCGCGGAATTATCAACTTTACGCGAGTTGTCAGCACAGCGAGGATGAATCCAATGTTTTGAGGAGAATGTGAGGCTGTGAGTCACCGCGCCGGTGTGGATACTGTCAATCGGAATCACAGATTCTACTTTTTGGAAGTATGACCAACATAAGAACGTATGTTATAAATTCCCTAAATTATCATCTGAACAAGTAACATCCACTTTTGTTCTGACCAACTAAGGGGGAAAAAGCATTGCAGTAAATCGAGCTGATTAAATCCAACGATCGCTTATCATATCACGTCAAGCCGTGCAAATTATACTTTGTTGTCAAATTGTTAATGTTAACAACAGCATTGCGTGACTACATTTAATGCCCTTCAGATGTTGTTTTCAGAATGCCCTTGTTTTCGCATGGGCCCGGTTGCAGTCTCTTTTTCTTTTGCATTTTACAGCGGGTGAATCTGTTGTCACTGGTGATTGTCGTTTGAACCTTTCTGGATCCGCCATCAAATTGATAAGTTTAATTACAGTATATCAAGTGCTGTGAGAAAAGGCTATAAATCTCCACCTCCAACATCCTCACTCGCAATATAGCCTACTAGCCGAGACTCCTTCTTTATGTGTACAGATGTGACGTAATGACACAAAGACATGCTCGAATCTCCTGCGAAAATCCACCAGTACCACTGGAAGTAAAAACATTATTACAAGCTTACCGTTTTGAATTGAGCTAAGGCAAGCAGATAGTTTTGAAAAAATGGCTGGTTATGTACTTGCTCAAATTTATTTTGGATCATTTTTAACCCAAAAAAGTTACGGACTGGAGCTTTAAAGGGCATATTGCAGGGTTTCTTTCTTTCAAACTGAATATATAACCTTGTATGAAAATACCAAATGAAAAGTTAATGCAGGATTTAAAATTGTTTTGCAAGAGATAAGGGTACAAATTTAGTAGAAAACGTGACAGTTTCCTTGTCCGTGTTGAAAAACCGCTTTTTTTTTTTTTTCAACATCGCGTCATATTACGTTACGAGAGGGAGTCGTTTCCCGGGCTCTGCGTTCGCTCAGTGCAGGGTAGGTTGGTATTCAGTAGGAGTGGCCGTGATTCAGTGTGTTTTTCGGTGGTTATTGTATTTCAATTTATCATCGTCATGGTAAATTATTGTAAATTATGGCCTGTCAGGAAATCAAGTCCACAGGTTTCCGAACCATAAAAAGAATGGTGCTATCTTCCGTGCCCTGGTGCGTTTTGTGCAGGTGAAGAGACGGGACTTCACTTCTGCATCTGCTTCGAAAAATGCGGTAGTGTGTAGCGTTCACTATAGACCGGATGATTATAATCCCGGCGATATGATGGAGTTCAACATGGGATGCCAAAGCAAGAACCAAGTGAGACTCTGGGCTGGTGAGGTTCCTTCGGTGCACTCACTCACAGCACCTTCATCGGGTCCGTCGTCAGCATGTGCTTCGGCCACCGGCGGGAAACATGATTGGTCACTGATCCGTCAGAGATCACTTATTGTACATCTGTTTTACAAAAATGTGCCTTGTCTTAATTTAATTCATGAACATATCCTACATGAACTTGTAATGTAATGCATTTATGTGTTTGTTATTAGTCTGAAGCCGAAACTTATTATTTCCATAAATATTTATATAATTAATTTTCAATCTGTACAAAACCACTTTAATGATTGTGTTACCTGTTTCTACATATAAAGTTTTTATACAGTAAGACAGTTGTGATTGTAATCATTTTTTTTTTCATTGTCACCAAAATGGGGCCATTCAAAGCCTTTATAAAGTCCCTCTTCCTCTGGAAACTGTCTCCTAATGGCTGACACAACACACAACACGTGCAGGTAAGGGCCCAATGCTAGCTTTGCTATTGCCTGATACATGATAATAATCTGTACAATATTGTGATCTGAGCAGTGTTATACATATCGTCGGCTAACGTGGATATAGGCCTATCCATAAGCTAACACTGGTCTCTCACCGAGACAACTGCCCTGTTCTCCTCACACCACAACTCAATTTGTCTCCTCTGACCGTTGTTCTGTCTAATCCTGGCCTGTCCCTGCTCTCTTGGCCGCATAGCAGGCTCATAATTATATGGCTGAGGTCCGTCATACGAGTAAACATTTACAATTTCCTCAGCGTCCCAACGTCATTGCGATCCATTGCTTTCCTATTGTTTACTTTGACTGCACTCCCTCCCGTTACGTCACTTCCGGTTTGGCGGTTTTCAGATGCAAAAGTAAAATTCTCACAAAAACGACTCCAAAAGCCTTAATAGCGTTTTTAAGTATGTATTTATACGGAGGCGGTATTAACATTAAGTGACATGGCATCTGACGCACAGAAGCCAATGGCACGTCACTATGCGTATTGGCACATCCGGTGGCACATCCGGTCTTCATTGGCATGTGCCAGTGGATAGTGGCATGTGTCACTGACATTATTGGCATGTGCCAGTGGATAGTGGCATGTGTCACTGACATTATTGGCATGTGCCAGTGGATAGTGGCATGTGTCACTGACATTATTGGCATGTGCCAGTGGATAGTGGCATTTCACGTGCCAGTGGATAGTGTCATGTGTCACTGACATTATTGGCATGTGCCAGTGGATAGTGGCATTTCACGTGCCAGTGGATAGTGTCATGTGTCACTGACATTATCACGACACATTGACACTGACATGACACCTGACTAACACCGAGTCGCGGAACATGTCACCGTATGTTGTGACACCTCCAGTAGTGACTGACAGATTAATCGAGCACCTATCCTGACGTAATTGTGACACAAAATCCTAAATGAAAAGCCTAATTTTGTGATATTTTAAATATCAATTAAATGCATTAAAGTCAGTAATATTTTTTCAAACGTGTTACTTGTGTCACGTCTGTATTTGATTGTATCTGACAATAATGTCAGTGACGCATGCCACTATCCACTGGCACATGCCAATAATGTCAGTGACACATGCCACTATCCACTGGCACATGCCAATAATGTCAGTGACACATGCCACTATCCACTGGCACATGCCAATAATGTCAGTGACACATGCCACTATCCACTGGCACATGCCAATAATGTCAGTGACACATGCCACTATCAGGGTTCCAGACTGCGACCAAATTGGTCGCATATGCGACCATTTTTTGAGAATGTGCGAGTAAAAATGTTCTGTGGTCGCATTTGTGCGAGTGGACGCTTGAGCAACAGAACGCCGTTGTATCAGCTGCTGCAGTCCGTAACTTATGTTCAAAATGAACGAGTAGGCTACATCATGAATCCATTTTCCAAACCGTGTTTTTGACTTATTCTGAATCACTACGGTACGCCTATAATAAGTGTTTATATTCGGAGTATTTTATCACGGGGTCGTCTCGGCTGCGGAGTAGCCCAGTGCCTGCGTGACTCGCCATAGACATTAACGGAGAGAAGTTCCGTCTACAATGTTCTTCCGCAAGACACGTGCAGTTTATTTATTGACGAACGTAGACGTCACGCGCATTGCACACTGATGGTGAAACGCGCCAATTACGAATTCACGAATTAAGGCATATAAAAATGATAAAAATGGTCTCACGAAACACAGAGCCCCTTCCTCCTAGTCCTACGTCTTTTCAGCGGTTATATTTTCCTCTGTCGAGCGATTACTCTCATGATCGCTCGACAGAGGAAAAGGACATTATTATAAAATGCAGAAGGTAAGGAGTGTGAGATTTCTGCTTTTAGTTACAACTATAAACTTTGATAACGAAAAATCTGTATCAGTTTATTATAATACTCTAATCTTTTAAAACGTAATGCATACATTTGAATGTTTAATGATTTTTAAAAGATAGAAAGATGATAATAGACAGATAAACAGATAGATAGATAGATAGATAGATAGATAGATAGATAGATAGATAGATAGATAGATAGATAGATAGATAGATAGATAGATAGATAGATGGAATATGATTCAAATGTAAATAGATAGATTATATATAATTCAAATGTAAAATGCTTAAAATTACAGATTAAAATTACTGTCCAAAATCCATGAAAATCCTGAAATTTGGCAATGATAATTAATATATTACACGTATTTCTGCTGCAAACCAGAAAGCCTTTGCTAGCCTTGGTCCATTAAAACCACTATTCATCAGCATGCATTGATTAATCCCATGGCATGTAGCAAAAGAAAAAAGAAAAAAAGGTGCGACCAAATCATATGCTGGTGCGACATATGCTGGTGCGAACTGAGAAAGTTGGTAGCACCAGTGCAACCAGTGGAAAAGTTAGTCTGGAGCCCTGACTATCCACTGGCACATGCCAATAATGTCAGTGACACACATGCCACTATCCACTGGCACATGTCAATAATGTCAGTGACACATGCCACTATCCACTGGCACATGCCAATAATGTCAGTGACACATGCCACTATCCACTGGCACATGCCAATAATGTCAGTGACACATGCCACTATCCACTGGCACATGCCAATGAAGACCGGATGTCCCACCGGATGTGCCAATACGCATAGTGACGTGTGCCATTGGCTTCTGTGCGTCAGATGCCATGTCACTTAATGTTAATAGTATACTGCTACTGGAGATATATTTAAACATTATTTTGAATTTTATTCCTACATTATTTTTCTATACAATGACTCACTGGGTACTATAACCTGCAATATGCCCTTTAACATTTTACCATGTTTAAATCCATTTAGCATAATTCCAGATTTCCCACATAACAAACAGTGCAAAATGCAAAAAAAAAAAAAAAAAGAACAGACTCACTGATATCTAAATGAAATAAATACTTATATTTTAAAAAGAAATAAACTTTACCTGGCTGATTGGAAGCTCTGAACTAAGTCGTCTAATAATCTGTTGTTCCTCAGGTCTTGTTCTGTTGATGGCTGCAAGGAGAGTTGAACTAAGATTAATGGAAACTGTTTATTGAAAATCTTAACTTAATTAAAATATTACAGACAGACAGACAGACAGATAGACAGACAGATAGATAGATTCGAGTTCAGATTATTTTTACATGCTGACACTTACCGAGTTACAAACAGGACACAACAATTTAAAGGAGAGAAACTTCCGTATGCACAGAGAACAAACTGTTTGGAATACCAAAAAGAAAAGAAGCAATCATTTAGTATCTTGCTTAAAGAAATTATGTCAATTAAAACATCAAATGGATATATACTGAACTGTAAAAGTGATATAATACGTACAGTTGTGTGAACACTGGGTCATCATGGTGATGTTGAGAAACTCAAAGCAGATAGGACATCGGAGGAGAGTGTCCATGCTCTGATACACACAAAAATATACAAGATCTGATGTCAAACAAACCTGCATATCCCGCCTGACTAACTTACTGGAAATCTTTGACACTGCGCTTCGTGACATGTTCTCAATGATGTACAAAAACATGCAATGCAATTTATTCTGTTCAATTTCAGGGAAGCGGTTGGCATGAAACAAGAACATAAGCACATTGGTGTGTTATATCTAGAAAAACAACAACCGAAGACTGCAAAAACGTCGCATTTGGGTTAATATTCTCTGTCAGATGTGTTAGAGCTCGAGACTGCTGCGGTTATCTTATAACGTTACACATGTGAGCAGAAAACAACACATTAGTAAGTTAGCGGATAATCTTGTTTTTAAGAACAGGGCTAAGCAAAGTTGAATAATAACGTACTTTGAGACATGACAGGTTCGGCGGTAAGTCCACTTCATTTAGCTGAGCCATCTACGCAAATTCCTGTGCTGTTATCAGCTTTAGTGCGATAAAAAAAAATCTGTACAAATTAATTAGAACTCTAGCTCTCTAGATAGCAACAATAAACTCCCGCGCATCGCTAAACACTTCCTACAAAATCGTCACTTCCGGTTGAAATCACGCAACGTCAGTATGACGTTTGGAAAAAATACCATGGTAACCAACATTAAACTAATTACGGTATTTTGACCTCTATGATTTTGACAGAAACTTTGATTGACATGATGATTTTACTAAGGAAGGCACAAAAGCCAGATGTTAAAGTAATAAAGATTAAAGTAATAAGGAACATAATCCTTGAATTAGAATACAATATGCTTTAAAATTGAAATATTTTAATTAACAAATAATTTATGTTTTAGATATAAATGTGCTTCTTTCAAATAATTTGTATATTTGTTGAATTTTATTAAAATGGCCTTGTTTCATCATGGCCTGTCTATGATCGTTTGATTTATTCCATAAAACATTTGAAGAGGTCAAGAAGCCACACTAATCCTTATATATTAATCCTTATAATGATTGATTAGACCTTACTTTGTTAGCTCACATTACTAGTCTTGTGGTGAACAATTAATCCGTGTTAAGAAACAGAAATAATTAAGTTAATACCATGGTTAATACACAGAAAGAAAGAAAATTGTCCTGTTTTTAGCATTTTATCTTTAATCAAAAAACCTAAAAATTTGCTTCCGCTCTGGAATGCCGTTCTTTCACGGATGCTAGGCCTTTATCGCATCACGATAGAACGCCGGAAGTAGCCGTCAAAAATAGCTGAAGCAGTGTACTGCGTCTTCCGGTTATTGCGTTCGAAATGGCTGCCTGTAATCGCTGGACAACTTCGCTCTCGCATCTCCCAAAAGTTGGCCAAGACGATGTGGTGCGAATCATCCAAGTTGGAGAAGGGATACAAGTTCTTCTACGAGAATTTTGTCTTCAATTATAGAGGTAAGTAGCTTGAATTCTGTTCTGTTGGCGAGTTATCGCTAGCTTGTTATGTTTAGTAAGCTATTCGTCAGCTTGTTACTAGCTAGATAGGTTCACTTCAAATACAGCGTATCCTATTTGAATAATTCGAACAATGTGACTTTTTTGCTTTCACTTGATGGATTTCATCAGATTTACAGTTTGGATCCAGACAGTGCTACAGTAACGTTACCAAATTACCCCAAACTTGTAATGTGTAGTGAATAGAGCATGGTTTCAGACCTACAAAGGTTCAGGTGCATTTGTTCAGTATGTTTTTGTTTCTTCTGCTGTTGCGGATGCTCTTTTTTGTTGTTCCATATAGCCTATCTGCTGTTGCAGATCTGTACCTTTTTTTTTTTTCGGCTGTTGCCTTGATTTTGTTCAACCTAGTTTTACAATAATGTTCCTAGTGTCAAACAAATGCTAATTACTGTAGGCTAAACATCCAAACTTTCCCTCAAGTATATGTTCTCCATTTCTAGATTGTGCTGCATGCCGTTAGACCTGTGGAGTTAAATGGATGCTCCTGCTCGTGTGCTGCTGGAATGGCTTTATGCAACCATGTGGTTGGACTCCTGTTTCAAACGGCTCACTACAGCACCATGGGGCTGAAAACTGTGCCAACCCCACTGTCCTGCACCGGTGTGCTTCAATCATGGCACCGTCCAAGGACACAGGTAAGTTTGTCTAATGCAAGTTGTGTCTTTAAAGTTTGTAAGTGCACACTGTTGGAATACTGATTCTGGTGTAGATGTTTCTACACAGTGTATACATATCCTACACCTCATCCATATGAATTGTTCACTTCACATGGTAATATAAGATTTGTCTGGGTCCCTCAGATATAGCCATACATGCAATTCTAGAATTACTCACACATCACATTTCAGTATACATTTGTTTCCTTCTATTTTGCAGAGCAGCGGTTGCCTGCATAGGATGTACACCTACAATATGACTTGTGTGCTGAATTAAACTGATACTCTCTCAGACTTGCAACTGAATTTAATTTCTTTTTGTGTTGATGCAGGGGATTCGTCCCGAACCCACGGATGAACTCGTGGTACGAAAGCCAAAGGCGCTAGGACGCAGTAGTGTCAAATCTACTCTGTATCGCGCTTACGCTGGTAAGTTTTAATTACGGTAATTTACTTATAGACTTTTATCACGGCAGAATTGATTACTGGAAGTGCTCGTCGAAGCAGTGTATCGATTGATTGTTTATCGAGTGTATTGATTCTTCCGGTTATGTATTTTCAATGTGCTTTTGTTAACATCTAGTTGAATAAACGCCTCTGAAAATTTGTAAATCATCCTGCGGGTGTTCATTTTAAGAGACAGGAGAAGAGATTTAGTTCGTCGACTAGTCGATGACGTCATTCATAAAAACAAGAGATGGGACTGCTTTGCAACATGCCACAAATTGCAATTAATTAACAGAAAATTATACAGATGCTGACAGACAGCTCATAATGGGGCCGTTTACACCTGGTCACTTCATGTTTTTTTTACTGATCTGATTTATCAAAACGATGCTATTTAGCCTACACCTGGTCACATAAATATGTTTTCGCAAAACAGATATAAATCCGATCTTCAAACAACGCGCTATCGATTTAACGTCACGTCAGTTCACGTCACCGAAAGCAACAATAATGAGCTGCATTTTATTGATCATCAGCTAATTTCAAAATCAAAGACCGCAATAAGAGAGACAGCACTGGTAAGATCATTTCTGTTTCTTTACTTTTAATGAAGATGATTGTGTGTTAAGCGCACTGATCTATATAGAATGACATTATATAGATCAGTGGTTAAGCGTCTGTGACCTACTTTCACTTTGATTTGCGATAGTTTGCACGTTGTTGGCTTGATGAATAGATGCTCGAGCTGCTCATCTGCGGCGATGCGTGTTGCCATAGCTTCATCGCTATAATACGCTCTCACACGTTTATTTTTAGCATTGTTGGGAGAAGTCCAATTTACAAATGTGGTTTCAACAACCAGATGCATTTACACTTGTCCACTTTCGTCTGTTAAGCGGCCCAGACCTCCTCCTGAAGCGGTTTGAGCGATCGGATTTAAATCCGTCTCGAGTGCGTTTCGGAGGGCATTTACACCTGGTCTTTTCACGATCGGATATAGCTATCAGATCACAGAAACACATGAAGTGCCCTGGTGTAAACAGCCCGCAGTTACATCATCATTTAGGATGAAAAGAAAAGGAAAAAAGCTATAAATTCACATCTGTGCCTTAGTGATGCGCAGATCCAAGTAATACAAAATAATATTCCAACTAACTGCGGGTGAATTAGCTACATCATTAATATGTTTAAATAAATAAATGAATTTTTTTTTTTTTTTAATGATTTTAATAAAGATACTGGACTCTCATTTCCGGTAGTGAGCGTGCGTCATGCTTTAACTTTCGTTTTCAACAATATCTAGTGTTAGGTTAGTAAAGTATTTACACACATTTGATGTACCAATGCTGCTTTCTTGCTGCAATGAAATTCAAAGTTTAGGATTGTAAATTCAGTATGAAATATCAGTAAGAAAAAAACGCTGTTAATGAGAAGGCGAGCACTGGACTTCGTCCGGTTAGTTTGGAAATAAATGTATGTATTAATCAGAATGCGCATTTGAAAGGGAAATATATTTACAGGAGGAACATTTCAACTAGTTGAAGATATAACGTAAACATCCTTAGCGCCGCGTCTAGGACAACTCGAGGTATCACACACCAGATGTGTACTTTCTCAGTTTATGGCCAGCAATATTGTTGTTTAAGCACATTATGGAATTAAGATAATGTCTGTACTATGTTATGATTAAACCTGAATCCGATTATTCATTATTATTACTATTGCTGAAAGTCCGATAACATCAGCAATTTTTAAATGAGAACATACAGTTAGTTCTTTATATCAGATTAGCTACACTGTCGCTTGTAAATCATTGGCAGTTATTAACTGATGAATGGTTTCTGTTACTTGTGTTTTTAGGACCCCTTCCTGACCCGACGGTGTTGTCAGTTGGAGCCCAACTACGCAACCATCAGCCACAACCTGGCATTTGCAAATTCTTATACGGCCTCTCTGAACTGACTTTAGTGGACTCTAAATTTCTACTAGTCCCTCGAGGTTCAGTTCTTTCTTATCAGTGCACAGTGCACACCAGTAATACCTCGAGAAATCATTAAGCATCCAGAAGCTCCCTCATTCCCACAACTTCCATTAATTAGTGGCTTAACATTAGAACGGCATCTACATTTTGTCCCCAATTGTCATCAGTTTTATCACATACAGAGTTTAGAACTAACCCGTGAATGTGCAAGTATCATCGAAGAGAATACAAGGGGGCAGTCGGAGAATCCTTTGTGGAAGGAAGTCCGACAGCCCCGCCTAACTTCCAGTAGATTCGGCGAAGTTTGTAGCGTTAGAGGGGAGTCATCTAGTCAGGCTCTGGCAGCCAGGATCATAAAGGGGGTAAGGCAAACACCTGCCATGAAAAGGGGTATTGACCTTGAGCCAGAAGTTTTACAACAGTACAGTGACCGTTGCAATGTCAGTGTCGCTCCTTCTGGATTCGTTGTGAATCCTGATGCGCCTTACCTCGGTGCTAGCCCTGATGCCAAAGTGTATGATCCCACTGCAAATCCACCCTTTGGGTTAGCTGAAGTGAAATGCCCAGATGTTAACAGTATAACAGGTTACACATGTGAAGTTTATTGGTGGTCAGGCCAAACTAAAAAAAAATCACAAGTATTTCTGGCAAGTGCAAGGCCAGTTAGCCATAACTGGTTTAAAATGGTGTGATTTCATTACATCCACACAAAGTGACCTCACAGTAGAGCGAATTTGGCTCGACGAGTCGCTGATCAGTGAAATGAAAGGTAAACTTGATATATTTTATTTTGCCACATATATGGAAACGTACCTGAAACTAAAGTAACTCCATACATCCCCCCCACCACACACACACACACAAATGGGATCTCTTTCTGATTTTATTTATGGAACGGACATACCTACTCTCTAATCATCACCACCACCACATGCATGTGCGCACGTACGCACACACAAACATACACACACGCAAATGTTCCCACACACTTGTACTTAATCGATTAATTA